TTGTTGCATGAATTAAAGTAAATTTTAAATGATAGCAAACATAAACATGTATTTATGGGGTTCACCTGCATAAAACATATACTCTGTTGCTAGTAAAATATTTTATGCAATCATCACTCAAACAAGACAAGAGGCTGAACGTTCAAAAACACAAAATTCAAAACGGCTAACTTAGTGGTGAAAAGGAGAGGAAAAAACGAATATAGAAGTATCACAATTTAATCATCAACGAAATCCAAAGTTTACTGGGAATGCACATATGTTCACTAATAAGATTGAAACTAATTTTTATATGTTCTTTAATATCTCTCCACATTTTGTCAAACATTAAAAAGGGCATCAGAACTTCATAATCATGTGATTTATACTAATTTTCCTATTTTACAGGAAGTGAAATCATCCTGTGCGAATGAAACATAAAGAACAGAACATTATAACCAACTCAAAATTCCAGACTTATGCAAAGTAATCTACTGAAATATATTTGAACGCTCACCTTACTAGTAATCAAACAATGCCCAATTTAATAACAATAATATAATTTAATCCCTCTAAAGAAACTTGACGGAAAAATCAGGACTAAAAGCAAATGAAATTGCAAAACAGGACAAATAATGTAGAGATAAAAGCAATTAGCTTCAATCCTTAACCAAATAATTAATATAGACCGGCCTCTAATTGCTTCATTATCACAAAAAGTATAAGAGACGCACCTTCAGGGTTTAGTGGAATATGATTGTGAATAGGGGAACTGAAACTGAACCTGGAACTGAAATCCGAAGAAGTAGAGCTGAAACTGGGGGCACGAGCAAGTTCCCGAAACTCCTCTCGTTTTAATGTGGCTCCAACCAGGCTCTCCCAATTGTCGTAAATTCTACTCATTTCCACACACAGTTTGGAGAGATATAAGTGCGTAATTATCAATAAACTTCACCCATATAAGAGGAATTCGTTTACAGATTTTGCATGTACTTTTGGTGGGTGCGTACATTCAGTTGCTTAATATGTATTTTAGAGGGAATGAAAGCTAAGTTCTCAGCATGCGGACGAAAGCTCAGTTCTCAGCATGTGGACATGAAGGGGCCCAGAGGAAGCTGAGGAGAAAACGCAGGAAATTTCTGGCTACTTTCTTTTCTCACTTAAAAATATCATTTAGACAAATTTACTTAAAATACCGTTGACTGACTTTTCAGCGTAGCAAAACATTCTCTGTGCATCAATTTGTTAAATGGGTATAAACATATTTATAATCTCCTACTTAGGTTAAAAATCAAGCCACAAAATGTCTTGAATCATTATTTCAATCGAAATATTTTTCTTATATTTTAATAACATTTTTCAAAAAAATCACTATTCAAAATACATTTTAACCTAAAAAT